AAATTGGTTATCAGATAAGTTTGCTTCTTCTTACTATTATGTTGCTTTCTGGATCACCCACACTCAACATTACCTTCTGACTTTATGTCATAATTATGATTGTCACTCTGCAATCTTCTTTGCTTAGTAGCCTTTACATAAGTATCTTCATATACTTCACAATTCGGTCGACGCTAACTTGTCCTCCACCCATAGTTCTAAATAACATAAATTTTCATAGATGAACCTGGTTGTTCTGCATATATGATAGCAGTCTAAAAGCATTGATAGACAAGTTAATTATAGAGATGCAGCCAAATCACAAATTCATAGGGATCTAGATTTTTCTTTATGTCTTTCTTTGTTTTAARAATGTTTGAACTACCCGAAAGGCAACGAAAATGAAGCAGCATTTCGCCCACATACAATTGACCGGTATGTCGGTGAATATATTTAAGGTTCTTGCTTCAATGAAAAGCAATACAAATTAGCAGAAGGGATAGTAATAAGCTAGCAGTACAGTCTAAGATCAATTTACAGTTGTTCTTCTTTCTTAATCACCTCGGTCCTACCACCACCTTTCTCATTTCTGCTACATGGTTGTCGTCACGAACATCCATAATATTACATATTTTTCTCTTTCATTGTTTTTAGAATATAATGGCTGCGTAGTTGTGGCTAGTTTGTCCCAATCTAACAATATTTTGCATTGCGTGCTTACTCCGAGTTAATTGACTACTAGATTTATTGATTGGTTCTATAAAGTCCGTCATTGTTACAACATATTATACTGTTACAATAACCATGCTACAAAATATATATTYTTAATGCTTTGTTTTTGCCAATGTCGTTAAAACAAAGAGGCCACAACTACTTATCTCAAACTTATTTCTTGATGTTGTTTTACAAATTCGGCCTTCAATTAGGGTCGGCATACATTCTCTTGGTCTCATGTTCAAATACTGTGTCGTTGGTTCAAACAAATAGTGTCATTCGACATTGCTAGAAAAATGAAAAAATGTCCCYCGAAATTAACTAACAGCGTTCTGCAAGCAAAATATGCAACTTAATTATCCACCAAACTTTCAAGCATAATTATAATACATTTTTACTATACCTATGCTCCAAATTCTGACAGCAGAATGTTTTTCGAAGTGATCGCTTCGCTCGTTTTCATAAACTCAAAATTTATATTTTACGTGAGCAACGTAGACTTAAATGRAAAAATTTGTCTCGCGCCCCTGTATTTTGCGTTATTTCGCGTCGCGCCCCTCCGACAGTCGGTTTACCCTGTCACGCCCCTCGACCAAAAAATATTTTCAGCAAACCCTTGTCTGTGGTGACCGCAACTTTCCAGGACGCCCTCCTTCGACTGGCGGTCCCATTTCTGTCGGGCCCTGTGCCATATCCCCTCATGAAGGGAAGCCATCTTTCTGCAATGCCCTCGCAGACGTGAGGCGCTACAAATTCAAATTCGATTTCAAACTGTGCCCTTCTTGACCCGACCRCTACATGGTTGTCGACGYGGCGCCGTCGCAGAGAAGCTGGTGGATTGCAACTTGTCCTCTGCATGCTTGATGTTTTCACGTGGGCGATCACACGTGGGTGCCACTCACCTTCTTTGTTCTCCGTCTACTTCGTCTCCTT